TGGTCCTCTGGACATTCAAAAAACAAAACAAACAAAACAAAAAAAGTAGAAATGTTTCGTCTTTCATCTGAAAGAGTTCCTCTGAAACTGAGACGTTTATTTTCTAAACATAACGTCCCAGTGGCTTTTAAACCCCAAAATACATTAAAGACTGGTTCATCCCAAAGATCCAGTCCCCCGGCACAAACAGAGTAATGTTGTGTATGCTGTTCAGTGTCAGGAGGGTGATCAGTCTTACATCGGGGAAACCAAACAGCCACTGGCCAAAAGGATGGACCAGCACAGAAGATCAACATCATCAGGCCAGGACTCTGAGGTCTACACTCATCTCCAGGCCAGAGGTCACTCTTTCAGGGATGAAGATGTTCACATCCTGGACAGAGAGGAACGATGGTTTGAGAGAGGAGTAAAGGAGGCCATCTTTGTGAAAAGAAACCGTCCATCATTAAACAGGGGTGGAGCCTCCAGGTTCAACTGTCCCCCTCTTACAATGCTGTGATTGCTAGTATCACTCAGCCCTCTGTGAACAGTAAACAGCCATCAGTGTGTTAATGATCCATTGTTAGGCTGATGGTACTTCTTGAGCATGTGATCAGCTGGTTCTGGTTGTCAGCAGCAAACTGGTTGATCCACTCTGAGAAGGTGCTATTTAAGAGACTGAGCTGAATACAGCACCTCAGACTGAGGAAGTCTCTCGGATGAGAGACGAAACATTTCTACATTTTTTGTTGATTTGCTTTGTTTTGTTTTTTGAATGTCCAGAGGACCAGATTGAACTTTTTTGGATTGTTCTACCTGGATTATTAAGCATGCACCAGGATATTGCCTTGTAATCTAACTGTTTTTTGCTGCTATTCCTCTTTGTTTGACCTTTTGGTTACTATTTTGTTTCGATTTATTAAAAAAAAAGAGAAACAAATTCGTACGCCTATTTTATGATTGTCTATTGTCTTTGTTGTTATCCACTGCTGTCAACACTCTCGGTTAAGAAATCAGATTTCTCTTGTAAATGAGTCATCGAGGCTCAATAGGATTAACCTTTAGAAATAAAGGCTGAATGAAAAAAATGGCTAAAAACACTCAAGAATGGCTCACAAACAAATACTGGACTATTCTGAAGAGTCCTTAAACTGCAGAACATCTGAGGAAGGAGCACAAAAATGCAGTCAAGAAAAAAAAAAACATGAAATCTGGAGAGGTCAGCTCCTAAAGTGGACCAGAACACCTGGACAGGTGCAGAAGTGTCATAGTTACAGAAATAACTTGATTTCTTCATCAAGCTCAAAGAAGAATGAAAGCTGATGCCATGTTGTTTTTTAAATTGTGTTTTTTCTTCTTTTAGATCCTTTCTAAAGAATGTGGCTGTAAAGCCAGAAGTGCACCAAAAATAGTTGGATAAATGTTTTAAATTCACATCTGTCATTCTGTGGTTTTCTGTCAGCCCATAATCTGCTCAGAGGCCTGTGGTCCAAACACGACGCTCATTTTATTGTGCACGGCCGTAGCACATCCTCCTAAATGTGCAGCAGAGAACTTGAATTTCACAAGGTGCTGTGACATGAGGCTCGTCTCTTTGGGACAAGTTTTTCTAGAAGATGCCTGTTGTGTTTTAAATATATAGTATAAAAATAAATCACTCACAAATTCATACTTCTTGATCTGCACTGAACCTCAGCAAGTCCAGGCCGTAGAAATCAAACTATCAAACAGTGGTCATTTTAGCCTTTTTTGGGGGGGTGCTCAAGCACCCCTAAATTTTAACTAGCACCCCTGAAAAATAAAGAAAAAATCATTAGGATTTTGTAAGGATCTCAAACCTTAATTCACCAAAATATTGAACAAATTTTGAATAAACATAGAATAAATGACGACACCCTTAAACAGGCCAGTAAAATCTATGCTTTGTTTGTTTGTGCATGAGTCAGATCCTCAATGCCACCTGTCAATCAACCCAGTAGGCATGTCAGCAACTGACCAATCAGTGTTCTCAATTTGTCCCAAAGTGAAACATCCATTTCCTGCAGGAGCTGCATCTGTAGCATCTTAGCTAGCGCATCTGTCTAGTGCATCACAATACTGTTGTTGACTGGGGGTGGAGGGCGGGTTAGGATGCGTGAAAGAAGTGGTGCATGCTCTATTCACACAAGGAGGGCTCTTGATCAGGCTACTTGGGCGGCTGTGGCTGAGTGGTTAGAGCAGTCGTCCTCCAATGTAAGAGTTGGGGGGTTTGACTCCACCAGCAGTCACATGCTGAAGTGTCCCTGGACAAGACACTGAACCCCTCATTGCCTGTGATGTGTGTCCCATCAGTGTATGAATGTAATAAAGCCTAATAAAATTAGTCTCTTTAGAATGATTTGTTCAATTATCTTTGTAGAGATCTAGTATAGAGTGTATGAATGGGTAAATGAGGCACAGATTGTTGTAAAGAGCTTTGAGTGTCTTGATACGATATAAAGGAGCTGTATAGGTACAGTCCATTTTCTTCTTGTTGAGCCACTAACTCCAAAATAGTTATTGAATCAAGTGTTTACTTATGGAGGTAAAATTGCATGTTAAACAACTGTTAAATTGCACCAGAACACAGGAAATAGCATCAACTTGATTTAGATTTTTCTGGACACCCCTCCCCACACACACACACACACACACACACACACACACACACACACACACACAACTTCACAAATGCTTCTTACTCCATTAGCTATGACGTTGTTCAGGCCTAGAGCAATTGACAGCGCTGGGGGCTAAGCACCCCTAAAGGGCAGATTCTAGAATCGCCCCTGCTGTCAAATATTCGGGATTAGTTTCCAACTTTTGTTCCTTTGAATCAGCACCAAGTTGAAATAAAGCATTTTTACACGGAGGCAGAATAAAGTGAACTGGGCCAAAGTGGTCCAAACGAGTTGTATCGTGGCTCGTGTTGTATTCAAGTGGTGTTTCTGATCAGGCTCGGATCGCTCCTCGCTCTAATCAAACTCATACAGTACATGTAGGCAGGGTTAGGGTTAGTTATAATTATACATGAGTCCCGGATCGCGTCTGTGTGCAAATACATCGTGCATACGTCTGAGTGCTCAGAATGTGCACAAGGCTGCGGTTTCAGGGGGGTCAAGTCACCCAGAAGCTTTTTCCTTGGTTTTCAGGAGGGATATGAAGCCGCTTTATGAGACCTCAGCCTGCGAACAAGAACACAAAACGTGCACTCGTGGAAGTTCTTCACCAACGCTTGGTGCCCACAAACAAGTAGAAGGATGCAGGAGATTAAAGAAGAAAAGGAGGAAAATGTCGACTAAATGTGAAAGAAACGTAGCGTTTTGAGGTGGCAGAGTCCAAACCACACCCCACCTCGACTCGGGCCAAACACAAAACCTTTGTGTGCTCCCTCACTTTCCCTCCTTCTCTTTCTGTCCACCGCCTCCTCCCTTTTTGTCGGCAGTTCTTTTTAGCTGTTTTCCCTCTCCATTTCTGCTTTGCAATCTTTTGTGTTTCTGTCTTCAGCTTTTATCCTCTTTCAAGTGTCTAACTTGACTTTGCTGCTTTCACTGAATGTCCATCTTGGTATTCAACTTGGGTGCTTTGCTGGAACAAGAAAACCTGCTCAGGTTTCCTTTCTGAAGTTGGTTTTTCTGCGAGCCCGTGATCAAACAGGACGTTTCGACATCCCATTTCCACGTCGCCTACAAAATACTTTCAAATAAATCTGGCACTTTGTGAGTTTGCCATTAAAGAGCACATGAGAAAACCATATGGCGTGTCTAAAGTTAGCATGTTGTGGTCTCCCATTGACATGCCGCCTGCACATCGCCTGTGGCCGGACTTTAATTATTGAAAGTGAAGTAGCATACAGCTGTTAGCATGCTAAATGTGTGAGACAGGTGGCTTTATTAAACTTCTCTGCACAGAGTAAATATCGTTTAAGTACTTTACATACAAGTGCCCAGAGAAGGAACAGTCAGAATAAAAACAGCTTTCTGCCACCGAGGCCTTCAAGCACATCGTAGATTGAGATCTGTTTTCAATCTGCGCAGGGCGACGGCTTACGCTGCTGCCTTTCACATGTTTACTGAGTTTAATCGCTGCTCATACGTTTTCCTCAGGCTGCTTTGGATTACTTTGTTTGCATTCAGCACGAACAGAGTGTATAGATTTATTTTGCCAGTCTGATGTCATCGCCCCTTGATTGAGTGGGAAACGCTGCACATCAGATCGCAGCGTGCTGACCGAGGAGCAGCTTTCCAGGAGGCCTTGCTGTCACTAAATAAAAGGCTTTATTTAAGAAAAACTCCTTTTAGCAAGGCTTTTCACAGAAACAGTGCCCAACTAGTTTCTAATTTTGGACCTTCATGTTTTTGTCACAAAGTTCTTTTAAAGTGAAACTCTTTGTGGAGACGTAGTGCAGTGATGTTGCCACACAGCCGACACATGGACTGACAACATTTGTGATGAAACGTGGCCGATTTTACACAGAAGCTGCTGCAGCACATGAGCACACAAATGTAGCATCCTGCTCAACATCAGCAGCATCTCCCACAGAACAAAAACAAGTCTCTCTCTTGAAAATGAGTTCTCGTGATTCCATGAGACTACCTGTATTATTCTTACTATTAACCTTTATTTAACCAGGCAAATCCCAATGAGATCACAAATCTCTTTTGCAAGGGAGGCCTGGAGGCAGCACGTTTTTGTTCTGTGGGAAGAAACCGGAGTACCCCGAGAAAACCCACGCAAGCACGAGAAGATCATGCAAACTCCACACAGAAAGACACCAGGTCCAACCGGGGATTGAATCCAGGACCTTCTTGTATAAATAAAGGGTTAAAAAAAACAAATAAAAAGAACAAACGGAGCTCCTACTTTTTATGTTTTTCAACAGAAAAGAGGTCATTTCTGAAGGAAGCGTTGTTCGGGAGCTAACAGAAGACATCATAGGAACCCCAACGACAGACACACAGAGTGTGGCATGTGTGTGTGTGTGTGTGTGTGTGTGTGTGTACCCTGTAAGTATCGGACACGAGGAAACATTCAGGCATCCCTGGGCCTCTAGTTGGATCGTCGTTCACCAGGTAAGTGTCAGTAGTCTGAGGCAAAGAGAGAAAAGACATTTTATAAAATCTTCTCAGTCTTATTGTTTCTAACGTCACACTGAACAATGAATATGTTTCCTTTTTTATTTATCATATTAAATTTCAATTTATTTTGAAACCAGTGCGATGTATTTGAAAATATGATCATTTGGTAGCAAGAAAGCAAAAAAAAAGTTTTAACAACTTAAAAGTAATGATGATATTTAAAGAAATTTATCTTTAGAATAAAAGCAATTAGCCTGATCAAGCCTGGATCTGCTCCTCAGATAAATAATGTTATTAACTTATACTTTTAGATATATGAATGTTTCTGTTCAGTGTCCTGAGATGACTTCTGCTGTGACTTGGAGCTTTAGAAATAAACTGAATTGAATTGGAAGTTCTTTTTTTTTTTTTAACAAAGATCTAATGGGTTCATTTCTCCACAGCTCCATGAATCCTCAGTCCAAGTAGCAATGCATGCATCTGTATGTAGGTGTGCATTCAAGGAGCTTCATTTGTATTCTAAGGAGAGCATGCAGGCAGGCGGGTAGGGTTCTGGCAGGGCCCGGAGCTGTGAAATAGGCTCTTCTAGCAGTTCTGCTGGTGACTGGATCAACTTATCTCTCTCTGCTTTAGTCAAAGGAAGCCCAAATCCTTCAGCCACTGTGGTGTTCTGTGATATCCTATTTCATCTCACAACTTTAATGGAATAAAAAGCACACACACAAACTTTCTGGTGCCAGTCTGCCCCCCCCCCCCCCCCCCTTATCATGCCACCGTGGGTTACAGAAGCAGAGACAAAGCAGAATGTCCAGCTGCACTCACAATATGGTCCAGATAGTCTTCCACATACTTTTTCACCCACAATTGTTTGCTTTACACACACACACACACACACACACACACACACACACACACACACACA